GCAACTTCCCGCAAGTCCCCCTCCCGCCTCAGTGTCCCCGACGGCGGAACTCGGGATGCCGCTCGCTGACCTGCAAGTGACCTGCTTGGTGCTCATGGTGGCCGAGATGAGAACGCCAGTCGCCGACCACTGCCTCAGCTGCCGCTGCGCCCTCCCACTACGCAGGCGCGTCACGCCGCACGCATGCCTCACTTAGGTAGCGCCGGCCGGAAACCCGGCGCGGTCACAATTGGTTCCGCACGGGGTGGGTCCGGCGTCAGGCGTTGCCAAGGTTCCTGCCTGGGCTGCCAGTTAATCAACTGCTAGTGCTTATTGTTACGCAGGAGTGTCCCCCCACCCTCGTTTTAATTTTTTATTAGTTCGTGTTTGCCGTATACATAATGATTACTTTCGTTGTGGGGAGTTGGTATATGTACATAACAGATATCTCCTCCCTCCATCTCTTGATCTCCTTCCGTTTGAGGAAGATCTGGCTCCCTGTGACATACTATAAAGTACGTCGCGGAGAGTTGGTACATGTACAAGACGTTTCTTTATTTATTTTTTTCTTAATTCCACTGTCTCAAAAAATTTAAAGGAGCTTGCATGTAGAGCCCTCCGGGGTTTGATCCCCAGTAGCACAAAAAACATATACAGAAGAATAATATATGCAACGACGGTACAAAAGGTGGGAGGATAATCAGTGAAATTCACTTTTCTAGGCTGTTTGCATTGTTCAGGAAATAATGGTAATAATTTAATGCAGATGCTAATAAATTATGGGTGCTTATTGTAATTTCCGGGGTAATTACAGGTTAACTTTTAAATGTGTAATTAAAAGTATATTACCAAAAAAGAAAAATATATACAGTAATGAAGAAAAACACAAAGGATTACAGCAAAAGAACGAAGAACAATCAAAGTACTGAATGGAAAATAAGTAATAAGATGGTATATTTAAATCAACCATATTACTTTTTTTTTCTTTGAAGTGCTTTACATCAGTTTTATTTATTTATTATTTATTTGTTTATTCCAGTACCAGGGATTGAACTCAGGACCTTGCGCTTGCAAGGCAGGTGTAATGCCACTGAGTTCAATCCCTGGCCCTAACCATATTACATTTAATGTAAATAGATTAAGCACTTCACTTAAAAAACAGAAGATTAGCTGAGCACAGAGGTGTAGTTTCAGGGTTACAGAAAACAGAGCAGAAAATTTCGGAGAGCTCTCACACGCTCTAACTCCTCAGGAGGCTTCACCCTCCTTCAGCATTCCTCGCCACAGGGGTGTGTTTCTCACCAACTAGGAACCAGCACTGAGATTCCATTATCACCTAAAGTCCATAGTTTATGTTACAATTCACTGTTGTATATTCTAGAGATTTTGACATGTAATACATAGTTTCACCTTTTTCAGGGTGTCATACAATTGGACTCATACTGTAGGTAGCCCTTTCTTACTGGCTTCTTTCACTTGGTGTGCTAGTTACTTTTCTGGTTGCTAAGACAAAATACCCAACATCCAAAGTTAAAGGAGGAAAGTTCTGTTTTGCTCACAGTTTGTAGAAGTTTCAGTCCATAATTGACTGCTCCAAGGCAGGATGGATTGGCAGAGAAGAAGAGAAACAGTTCATGGCAAGCAGGAGACAGCAAAAGCATGTAAGGAAGGGACCTTAACAGCATCTTTCTGTTCCTTATATTTTATCCAGACTACTTAGGACAGGTAATACTCACACCCTTAATCCTAGCATTGCACCATTGTCTTAATTACTTTTTCTCTCCTTGCTGAGACAAAATACCCACCCCTCAAAGTTAAAAGGAGGAAGGTTTATTTTGCTTATAGTTTGTGGAGGTTTCAGTCCATAATCAGCTGGCTCCAAGGCAGAATGGCACATGGCAGAGGGGCAGCAGTTCATGACGGAGGAAGACAGCAAAAGCAAGCAAGCAAGAGAATTTAATAGAATCTTTCTGTCCCTTTTAGCTTGTTCAGACTACTTAGGGCAGGTAGCACTCGTGCCCTTAATCCTAGTGTCCTTGAGCCTAGCATTACATCATGAATCAATTCCACCTTCACACTCTCTAGATCAAGTTGCCTCTGCAAAAGCCCACCTATGACTGAATGAGGCTTTGGGGAGGACATCTAGACACAAGCCATAGCACTTAGTAATATGCATCTAAGGTCCCTCCATGGGTTTTCATGGCTTGATTGTGCATTTCTTTCAGCACCAAACAATATTCTATTATCTAAGGATGCACTGCAATTGTCCACTCTCTGCTGAAGAACATCTGGGTGGCTTCCAAGTGGATAGAGCTGCCATAATATCTGCGCAGGTTTTTGTGTGAATGTACGTTTTCATTCCTTGAGTTAAACAGCAGGCGCACAGTCATGGGGTCACATGGCAAGTTTTATAAGAAATGACCAGACTGTTTTCCAAAGTGGCCACACAGGGGCTGGAGACGTAGCTGTGTAGCATGGGCCCAGGTTCAATCTCCAGCACTCCAAAACAAAACAAAACAAAAAACAGTTTCCATACCAGTTTTGCTTTCCCATCAGCAATAAATGAGAGTTCCTGTTCCATATTCTGCCCCGCATTTAGTGATGTCAGTTTAAAAAATCTATTGGGCAAGAATTCATCACTAGAAAAGTTTCCTTGCAAGAAATACTACAAGGAGTCCTTCAGGCTGGAATCACAGGATGGAAGACAATGACCAGAATCCAGATGGAGAAAGCAGAGAGCCAGAAAACTGACTAGGCAAGGAAGATAAAATGATAGCACCATGCATTTTTGGTGGGGAGGAGGCTGAAATATCATTTTAAAAAAATCTCATCTGTTTTGAAATTAAATTGATATTAATCTGACCTAGATTGTTATAAATTAATATATTCATTGGAATCCCCAGGGTAACCACTAAGATGATAAACTTCTAAATATACAGTAAAAGGAACAAGGAAAAAACTTTTGGGAGGCATTTTTAAAACAGGGTCTCACTAGGTAGCCCAGGCTGGCCTTGAATTCCCACTTATTCTCCTGCCTCATCCTCTTGAGTGCTGGGATTACAGGCGTGTCACCACATCTGGCTAGAACAAGGGAATTAAAGAGATAGCAGGTGGGCATGGTGGCCATGCTTGTAATCCCAGCCCTTAAAAGGCTGAAGCAGGAGGATCCTTACAAATTTGAGGCCAGCCTGGGCTACAAGTGAGTTTAGGGCCAACCTGAACTACATAGTGAGACCCTGTCTCAAAAGTCCCAAAAGCAAACAAACCTATATGCACTCAAAACAGATCCTGAAAGTACATGCAGCTAAAATTCTCAGGATGGAGGGGAAGAGGCAGGTAAGCAGGAGGTGGACTCTGGATGGTGGGAAGAACAGCCCACAGCAGACATCGTCATAAACCAGGGCTCATGGACATCAGGCAAGACCAAGTCACAACAGAACATGGGTTTCCTTGGTTGCAGTGTTGTGCCCAAGTCGCGAAGTCCCCAAAGACCACCAAGGAGTCATGTCCGATGCAATTGCAAGAGGAGTTTATTGTAAACTCGAGCTTGAACTCTTAGGTGTCACCTGAGGGGACTGAACTTGGGTCCTTGCGCTTGCAAGACAGGCCACCGAACCACTGAGCTAAATCCCCGGCCCTCAGATCCAACTTTGAACCAAGTTTATATAGGATTTTTTTGTTACTATTTTTAGTTTTCCCTTATCATCAAGGGGCATCGGGAGGGCACATTGGAACGTGATCTAATGCTTACATTTGCAAATTTATTATGGGGTGCTGGGAGGGTACGTATTGGAAAGTTACCTAAGGCCTTTAGAGAATTAATTCCTCTTTTCATTAGACAATTAATTCCTCTTTTCTGACTTTTACTAAGATATATAACTATCTATATCCACTATAATTAATTCCTATATCAGCTATAACTAATTCCTCTATTGATTAGATCACCCAAAAAGAAGCTTTTATATCAACTATATTTAATTCCTATATTAATTGAATTACATAAAAAGAAGCTTGTCTTAAAAAGAGAAATAGAAGCAGGGTGGAGATGCCCTAAAAGAGGAACCGAGGCATAGAATGGAAACTGTTACACAGAATGGAATTTCTTAGAAAGGAACTTTTGCATTTACTCTATTCTGGGTAAGGGGTTTGGAGCCCATCGTGACCTGGAGACTTGGTCCTCACAGCAGGTGAGGACAGGCTGGACCAGGTCACTGCGGCATTTCTGTGGCTGTCCCTCAAGGCCCCTAGGCTAAGGGTGCAGTGAGACACAGGCCTCACAGGAGGAAGCAGGCGGGGAGGGCAGCCCCCAGGAAGATGTCACTCCTTTCTTCCTGGCTGCCAGGTGAGAGCTTCCTCTGGCATGATTGCTGCCTCACTGAGCCCAGAAGTAACTGGGCTACCCGAACCTAGACTGGAACCACCAAAACCAGGAGCCAAAATTACCCTTTCCCCCAAGCACTAAGGATTGAACCCAGATCCTAACATTGAGCCATATCCCTAACCCTTTTAAATTTTGAGACAAGTATCACTAAATCACTAAACTGCCCAGGCTAGTCTCAAACTTGTGATCCTCCTGTCATAGCCTCCCAGAGTCCTGGGATTACAGATGTGTACCACTGTGCCCAGTTTAACGTTTCCTCTTTTTATGTTGGTTACCTCAGATATTTTGTTACAGCGACAGAAAGCTGACTAACATAATCATAAAACAAGTCTCAATAAATCTAAAGGAACTGAAATCAGCCCTGTATGGTGGTGCATGCCTATAATCTCAGCTATTTGGAAGGCTGATGCGGGAGGATACCAAATTCAGGGCCAGTCTTGGTCACTCAGAGAATCTCAACACTACTGAAAATGAATAAAACTGGAGGATTCAGACTTCCCAATTTTCAACACTTTTCACAAAGTTACATCATTCAAAACTGCTGTACTGGTTCAAAGGTAATTCTAGAGATAAATGAAATTGAATTGACAGTATAAAAATAAACACATCCATGGTCAATTGATTTTTGAAAAGGGCGCCAAGGAGCAACAAAAAGTGTTTTCACTAAAAGGTGTTGAGGGCCAGGGATTTATCTCCCTAGTTCTGCCACCTGCCTCGCAAGTGCAAGGACCCAAGTTTGACCCCCATTACAAAAAAAAACCCCAAAACAAAAAACAAACAAACAAAACCCCAAAAGATGTTGAAACAACTGGCTATCCACATGACCAAGAATGAAGTCAAACCTCTAGTTCATATGTTATTCCAAAATTTAACCCAACTGGATCAAGATCCTCAATATAAGAACTAACACTATAGATCACTGAGAAGAAAATGAAGGTACAAATCTTCATGGCCTTGGATTAAACAATGGATTCTTAGTAGAACACCAAAAGCAAAAGTAAAAAGAAAATAAATAAATTTAACTTTAGCCAAATAAACCCTGGCTTTGTCCTTGGCCTTTGTATCTCCCACCTTTATGTGCTGTTTCATCCATTCCTACCCGCCTGGAGGAGAGGCCTCTCTCTTCCATGTTTCCACATTCCAGAGATCTTGCTTTGCTCCAGACAGGTGACTAGGTGGTGGTTAGAAACAGCAAGAGCTGTTTAGTACAAAATGGGACGTGACATCTGCTTGAGGTTCTCCAACAGCTACTGAAATATTTCTCCTCCTGCTATACTCAGGAGAAAATAGAAGACATCATGGGAGATTCTAGAAAATTATTTTTCCAAATGCTATTTCTGAAAAAGCCACTAGAATTATGTTGGCTTTTTGAGCCAGGATCTTGCCATTAACTTTGATGAGTTTTGAACTTGCAGTCCTGCTCAAACCTCCCAAGTTCTGAGGTCTCAAGCAGTCACTCTTCCTAGCTTATGCTTATTTTATAATTTATAAGATTATTTAAAATAAACATGGTAAGAAAGATTGAAGACCCGTGTTAAAAATGCTGGCATGGTGGTGTATGCTTGTAGTCCCAGCACTTGGGAGGCTGAGGTGGAAGGATTGCTGCAAGTTCAAGAACAGCCTGGGCTACATAGTGAGTTCAAGGCCAATCTGAACTACATAATGAGACCCTGTCTCAAAAAACAAAACAAAATAAATTAAAATGCTGGTATATTAAAAGTGTTTATGAAGACATGGAACCTCTGTCACTTTTCGTGAGAGTAACAATATTTCTTTCTATGTTTTGCAGGGCCTTGCCCATGCTGACACCTGCTCCCCTACTGAGCTGCACCCCAGTCTGAGAGTAAGTCTCCTAGAATAGGTAACAGTGGCCTGCATGTGAGGCTCACTTCCCAAGAGGGTGAAGGAACAATCAAGTTCAAGGCCAGTCTGGGTTATGTAGTAAGAGCTTGTCTCAAAAAAAGAAAAAACAGAAAGCAGAAAATAATTTTTCTTGGTGTGGGTGTGAAGATGAATATATCCTCAACTGAAAATAGGTGTGCCTTCATGGTAAGCACCCACCTAGTGTGCATAAGGCCTTGGGCTCCAGCCCGGCACTGGGCGTAAGGCTCAGGTCACTCTAACAACCCACGAGTAATAGCTGTGTGGTCCATGTAAATAATGAATGACTTGGGTCCTTGTTCCCAGAGCTGGGTGACTCGCCATTGCTATCTGCCCTCACTATAACAGGAGACGGCTGCCCAAGGGTTTCTGAAGTCTTTCCAATTCCATGAGCCTGACAGTGATTCTCCTGTGACGTGGCTGGCCATGCATTTCAATGTCCTGCAACTTATTTCAGTAAAAGTGCATCACTACCCTTCTGGGCTCTTCCACCAGGCCCAGTACTGGCCATTTTGTCCTCCCATTTATGGCATCAACTGGGCTGAGGGTACAGTGCAGGCCATGCCAGGAGTCGTGCATGCTCCTCTGGAAGTGAGCACTGGGCTCCAGATGAGACAGAACCCTAGTTCTAAAGCTGTAGTGTGCAACAATAAGACAATTCTATAGAAATGGCCTCTAACTTGCCATGACTTTGCCATTGCAGGGAGTGGAATGTGGCAGGTGGGAAAAGGCACGGGAGAAAGGAAGGGTGCTATTTTCTTCCCTTGTATATTTTTGTGTGGTTGCTTCAAGGTTTTTTGTTTGTTTGTTTGTTTGTTTTTTGAGACAGGGTCTCACTATGTAGTTGAGACTGACCTGGAACTCACTATGTAGTCCAGGCTGGTCTCGAACTCACAGTGATTCTCCTGCCTCAGCTTCCCAAGTGCTGGGATTACAGGTGTGCGGCACCACGCCCGGCTTCAAGGTATTTTAAAGTTGAAAAACAATATGGAGCATAATGAATTATCACCAACCAGATTCTCCAATAGAAACAGCACCAGGTTAAAGAATCTCAGAAGATCCCCAGGCCCAGAAAGTACCATCGCTCCCTGTCCACGGTAGGAGTCCCTGCCTAGGTGACCACCACCCAGGCCTCTCATTGCACAATTCAGTCTCTGTGAGCAGGATTGCTGCTTCAGTAAGAAAAAGTCTAAACATGGTACCATAGAAGTAAGGTCTCCACTTGTGCATGAAACAGCAGAACAAAATAACATTATCTAGGAACACAGAAATAAAGATCAGGGGACATGACACTCACATGCAGTAGGCATGTAATGCACTGCTGGGGACAGAACTCAGGGCCTCACATATGCTAGTTAAGTACCCACTACTATCCTGAAAATAAATAAATATAAATAAGTCAATTCCCAAACTCAAGAAGTTCTCAGACTAATGGGAAAAATAAAACTAAAAAGACATTAAGTAATGAGGTTCTGGTCAAAATATAAATCCAGAGCTGGCAATGCAACAAACAAACAAACAAACAAACAAACAAAAAAGCTGGAAGAAGCTGAGAAAAGCTGCACAGAAAAATAGGGTTTTGAGAGATAAGGTGCCTGTCATCAGGTGCAAAATATACAGGGCTTAGGAAGAAGAAGCTTAGCCATGAAGCACAAATGAGAACTAGCTCTTTAAGAATCCAGTCTCAGATGGCCTGGTTGGTTACTGGTTAACCCCACCTGGCTTAGCTCCCAGGCCTTATGGTGCCCTCTATCAGGCTATTGGGTTACTCAGCAGTACAGTGGCTCACATTTGCCGGCCATAAGGAGGAAAAGGAAGTCTCCAAACTCTTCCTGGTGGCCTGGGAGGCAAATGCCATGCACAGCATGGAGGCTGGGAAGCCTTTGATTAAATTCAACCACTGTAAGAGATCCATCTACAGTTTTGGGGTGCCAAGGTGCTGCCCCCTGTGCCAGGAGGCCCTGGGCTTGGCAGAGCTGGCCAATGCCCCAGTCAGCGCCTGCAGCCCCTTCACCAATGGGCACCAGGAAAAGTGCTGCTTCCTCCTCAGACCGACCCAGGGCACATTTCTCAGGTACCGCATCTCCTGAGTGTCGCATTGAGCGGCACAAACTGGTCCTTTGTCAGTCACCACGACTTCCTTTTCCTAGTATGCAGTGGACAGGATGAGGTTTCAGGGGCTTCTTTGGGGGCTTTGGCTTTACATCCTGATATGTAGGCCAATTTATTCCACAGAAATGGGTGTGCAGAGCTGGGAGGCAATGCTGGTGTGAGGCTCTAGTCCTCCCGGCACCACACACACACACAAAGCTGGCTTGCAGTAGTGAAGGAAAAGTACAGGAGATGTGCTAAGAGGTTATGTGTAAAATCCCACCTCCAACAGTGCCTTTCCTGCAGCCAGGTGCGGTGGCCAAGCAGGAATGCAGCACTTACAGACTGTTCTGTGTGGAGCTGGGTTAGACTGAAGCCAGCCAGGTTTGGTGCTGTTTGCTTGGTGTTTTGGTGCTGGGCCCACGAGGGAGGCAGGGGCTTACCACTGAGCCACATCCAGCCCTGAGCTGATACTGACAGCTGAGGCCTTCCCAGTGCGGACACCATCTGGCTTTGATTAAGTTTAGAAATCAATAGAAAGGATGATGTCTCATTGTCCCTCTGCAGTGTAGAATTGGAACTGAAGGAGCCGGGTGTTTTAAACGACATGCGTGTTACTGAATAATGCATGTGCCTTAAGAAGCGTGTTCAGTCCTCTGCGTAGATACAGGGAATGACTTTTGAAGTTGACTGCAAATTCTTGCATCCCTCAGGGCGCCAGTTTGGTTTACTTCTTTTTCTTGTGGTGTAGGGAGGAGATGCCTCCCTGTCTTGCCAGGCTGGCCTCCGACTCCTGGGCTCAAGCGAACCTCCTGCCTCAACCTCCTGAGTAGCTAGGTCGTTGCCCGCAGAGTACTTCTGTCTGGGCGCACACACTTTCTAACTCACTGAATCCATTCTTTTCCTTCTCTCTGGACAAGAAGTAAACCAAAATGTGCAGAAAGGCTGGCCACACGCTGGGTGCTGAGCAAGCTGGGATGGGACAGACAGGACAGCTGAGGCCAACTGGCCCCAGGGTCCTCTCTGAGCCTCTGGTCCAGGCCTGCAGGCACTGGGGCTCTGCAACAGCACGTGCACTGCCAGCTGCCAGGCCTTCACAGCCCTCCAGCGCCAGAGCAGCCATCCAAGAAGCAAAAGCTCAGGACTGAGCAGGGTGCCAGGGAAGGAAGCAAGGAAGTGGGGAATCAAACCTGAGGTTTGGGGCAGGAGCAGCTCAGAGGGCTCCTCTGACAGAGTCAGGGCAGCCACGTGTGTCCTTGTCTTCTGCTGTGTTACAGCCCGGGAAGCTTGCTTTAATGAGGAGCCACACATCTGGCACATCTGGATTCTGTCTCCCTCTCCTTTTCCCTCTCCCTCTCTGTCTCTCTCTCTTTCTCTCTCCCTCTTCCTTTCTTTTTCTCTCTAGGGGATGCCAGAGCTTGAACTCAGGGTCTTTTTTGGGGGGGTTACCAGGGATTGAACTCAGGTCCCTGTGCTTGTGAGGCAGGCAGCAGCGCCACTGATCTCCATGGTCTTTGCACTGAGCTGTATCCCACTCTACCTCCTCTTTTTGTGGACAGTTCTCGCTGTTTGCCCAGGGTGGCCGCAAACTCACAATTCTCTCACAGCTTCCTACTTAGCTGGAGTTACAGGCATGCATCACTGTTTTAGTCCCTTTCTTACCCGACACCCACAGATTGAGGAGGAGAGGCTAACCTTGGCTCACACTTTGCAGAGTGGTCCTCGGCCAGTCGGAGTGGTGGACAAGAAGTAGAGTGAAATGAAGGAGCTGGGGAGGGACAGCCACCCTTCTAGGCCTGGCCGCAGTGCTGGCTCTTCTAATCAGACCTTGCCTCTCAACAGCAAGTCAGCTCTAAACCCCCAAGTCCATCACCTTCCAAAAGCCTGCCTCTGGGTGCACGAGGCTCTTGGGGGGTCACCTGGCTATTAACCATAGCAACTACCAAGCCTATCAGCATTATCATTTTAAAAATTACTTCTGTCTGGGCCTGGTGGTCACCCCTGTGATCCCAACACTCTGAGAGGCTGAGGCAGGAGAATCACAAGTTGGAGCCCAGCCTGAGCAACTTAGTGTTTTAGCAAGACTTTGTCCCCACCCCCAAATAAAAACAAAACTAAAAGGGCTGTGGATGCAACTTCATGCAAAGGCCTTGGGTTCCATCCCCAGTTACACACACACACACACACACACACACACACACACACACACACACACACGCACCCTCTGACCTTCCTGCCTGCTTGCTGAGAGGCTTAGGATACTCCTGTTCACAGATGCAGACACAGGGTGCAGAAAGCTCCATGCTCCGTGTCCCCAGATCCATAAGTGGCAGCCTGGGAGTGCTGCGAAGATGACGTGATAGGGAATCAAGTTGGTCATTGTTTGGACTTGTGTAAAGGAGAACACCAAGGGGCTGGGGTAGCTCAGTGGCCGAGCACATGCTTGGCACGCATGAGGCTCTGGGTTCCATCCCCAGTGCCACAAAACTCCTGGCGACCACAAAGAGTAATGTCAGGAAATGAAGGAGAAGCAGGAGGGGCCACAGCTATAAAGTAACACAGGATGCTGCACGTGTGGAGCTGAGGCCCGTCCCACCCCACCAGTCCAAGCCCGGGCTGTCAGCTCCCACAGAAGGAATGGAAGATAACCAGGTATTCCTTCGGCTGGTAAAGTGGTGCATGCTGCAATCCCAGCTGCTCAGGAGGCTGAGGCAGGAGGATTTCAAGTTTGAGGAAGGCAACTTAGCAAGAACTTCCTTCTTTCAAAATGAAATTTTAAAATTTTTTGTGAAAAAAAATTGAACCAGCACTGCTTAGGTTCAATCCCCAGTACTAAAAATAATGATAATGATAATAATAATAATAATAATAACAATAATAATAATAACCTCTAATCAATTTCCAGGAGATGCCAATGAAATCCATCTTTGGGGCAGTGCCATGGGAGCATTTCCTACATCAGACGCACTTGTCACTCAGCCAGGTCTCCAACTCAGCTTCTGCTCACCTGGAGTGAGGGGAGGCCCACATCCCTCCCTTATGTTAAACACCATGGCTTCATGCCAAGCACATGTCAACCAGACAGATGATAGAGCAGCAGCTCACCCATTGCCCCAGCTACTAAGGTGGCTGAGGCAGGAGGATCACTTGAGCCCAAGGGTTTGAGACCAGCCCTGGCATCTGAGAGACTCCATCTCATAAAAAGAAAAAATAATACTCGTTTCTTTCAGGGAGTATGATGGAAAGTCTGATCTCCATGTTGGAATAACTAACACAAATGGTGAGTACACTTTCACTTTCTTTTCTAACTTAAATACAGAACAACACAGGCCGGGATTTAGCTCAGTGGCTCCACTGCCTGCCTCTCAAGTGCAAGGTCCCGAGTTCGATCCCTGATCCCCAAAATAAATAAATAAATAAAACTCAAAACACAGCACTGAGTACAATCTTGGTCACATTTAACTGGTGATTCCTCAGTGCCCTGGTTCTCCTCCTGCACGCTGGGTGGGTCGGCCGCCCCCACACTGCCTGTGTGGAAGACTCGCTCCTTCCTGTTGCTGAGGCAGAGTCAGGGCTACTGCATGCTGAGCTCAGGCTTGGGGTACCATGTGCTATACCCCAGCCCCCCAAAAGTGTCAGCGCTTTCTCATTAAAAGGCCTCACAAACCTGCATGCTTTTCCTTGGGTGTAGGAGAGGAAGAAGAAATAGACATCCAGAGAAGCTGAGTTGTCCAAGATGTCACTTCCTGTGCCCAAATAAGATTTTGGCCTTTTGTTTGTTTGTTTGTTTTTTGTTTTGTTTGGTTTGATTTGGTTTGGTTTTTTTGACAGGGTCTCACTATGTAGTTCAGATTGAACTTGTAGCTCAACTTACACTACGTAGCCCAGGCTGGCCTCAAACTCACGGCAATCCTGTCTCAGCCTCCTGAGTGCTGGAATTATAGGCACACCCCACCATGCCCAGCGCCCAAATAAGATTTTGGACCCAGGCCCAATTCCCCAACCCTATGGTAACCTGGCTTCAAGAGTGGAAGAAGGGCTATATCTCCTCAGCATGTGTAGGGGGCCTCTGGGGGTTCACTCAACGAAAGGAGCCAGGTGTGGCGGTGCCCACCTGTAAACATGGCACCCTGGGAAGCTGAGGCAGGAAGATTGAAAGTTCAAGGCAAGCCTGGGCAATTTAGTAAGACCGTGTCTAAAAATGAAAAGGGCTGGGAGTGTAGATATGTGTAAATACATGAGCTAAGGCTGTAGCTCTGAGGTCACAGACTCTGCAACCCGAGACTCCAACACGCTCCTCAGTGGCAGAAGGGCCTGAGCGGAGCCCTTTTCAGGAAGCAGCACAAGCATCTGGGTGTAGTCTTTCTTTCCCCTTTGAGGCAGGAGAAACTGATACCCTAAACTGAAACTTAGAACTGCATTTTAAAATTTACATCCCCGTGTGCAGTTAGTGATACCACCCATTTTAATCTTGTTCTTGTTTCTGGGCTTTGTAATGTTGCCTAGGCTGGCATTGAACTTGCAATCCTCCTGCCTCAGCCTGCCCAGTATGACCAGGTCTGGCTTGTACCACCAACTGTCATCAGGGGCCCTTCCCAGCCAGAGGCTTGACTCTGGGGGATCCAACTGTCTGGATTTGATGAAGCAGGAAATGTGTTACTTTCAGTTTGGCCCAAACCAGGAAGTCAGCCAGCCTAGAATCTGTCTTTCCTGTCCAGACACCAGTGTTAGGTTACTGGGAAGGACCAGCGGGCTTTGCATGCAGCAGTCCTGGTGCTGCTGGCAGGTTGTGGGGAAAAGTGTCTGGCCCTGCATGAGATGAGGCTGGTAAGGAAAAGCAACAAACAAAGTGTAGGCTGGAGGGCTGGGTGCTGATGTAAATATGTACTAATAAAAATTTTAAAATTAGTAAAAATTAAGGATCCCCTGTTAAGCACCTCCCCCTTTTTGAGACAGGTTCTCCATATGTAGTCCAGGCTGTCCTTGAACTCATGGAGATCCTCCTGCCTCAGCCTGCCTAGTGCTGGGATGACAGGTGTGTGCCACCACACCTGGCATGATTTGTAAATAGAGAGCTTCAAGAAAGACATTTGCAGATGACTAGCCAGGCACTTTTTTTT